TCATGATTCTTGTTGACAGGTCAGTTCATGACGGAACCCAAAAAACTGATTCGATAGTCCACTTAAGAAAGAAGAAAAACTTTAAGGCCCCGATTCGCTGGGTAAGTTATTTATCTAGATAAATGCATTTACCCATATAAGTGTTTCCTATAATGACTGTTTTAGCCATAAAAGGCATTATTAAAGTGTCAATTTTGTCCTTCCAATTATTGGCAACTTTCCCCTAAGTAAGAAAGTTATTTACCACCTTGGAGATGGGTATCACTTAGTTGGGTAAGTGATACAAGTAAGTGATACGTAAGGAAAATACATTTTCCATGGACCCTACATAAATATGAAAAAAGAACATGGGTTTCTTGTCTCTGGAAATCCAAAAAACGAATAGACCCCAAGAGTCACAAGGAGATTACACTCATCGCTTAGAAATCTATGATTGTGTTTGGTATATATATATATATATATATATATATATATATATATATATATTGTTTTTCTAACACAAACGTTTTGAGTTATCAATACAAAATTGGGTACCATTCTTATTCTTTAAGATACGTCAAATTTAGTGTTTCTATTATAAATGCCAACACATAATCCAATGCTTATATTTCTTTAAGTAAAAGTGGTTATCGGATGTGATGTGACAAGACAATTTCTCACAAATTTGTATTAACCAATATAAAGTGTTGCAAGTAGAAGTGGCAATGATACCAAATACAACCTATATCTTTTCATGCCAAGAAAATGAGAAAAAATCACACCCTCCATTGGTTTTAGTGTGTGTGTATATAGATTTTTAGCTGTGACTTGCTTGATGTATGGGCTTTGTTAAATAAAGTTGAAGCAAAAATAGCCCCTTGTGTCCAATCCGTGCATTATGTTTTATTGGTTTAACTAATTATGATATTTTTTAGGATAAATTGTTGAAACATCCCTTGAACTTTTTGACATAGTTGAAAGTAGATCCCATTTGTTAAAATCCTTTAACAAGAGGCACAAAAATGTCCAAAATAGCTATGCAATTACTATTGAAACTGGTTTCTACAGTAAAAACAATACATACTTTATGAATAACAACAAAACAAAGAAAAGAGTTTAAAGTTATAGTTTTAACTTTGAGCTAATGATATGAAGAGCAAATTTGGAAAACAAATCAATTTTAGAAAAGCAGTTGGAAGGGCTTGGGGTAGTGATTGATATGAAGAGAAAAATTGAAAAATAGATATTTTGATCAAAAGTAAATACATGGGTATTTTAGACATTCTCGTGCCTCTTGTTATAGGATTATAACAAAAGGGGTCAATGCAACTGTGTCAAAAAGTTTAAGGGAGGTGGTTGCAATTATCAAACTTTAAGGGAGGTTTCAACAAAAATAAAAAATTTTAAGGGAGGTTTTAGCAATTTACCCCTTTTATTAACTAAATTTTAGACTTTTATTTGTTTGTGGGTTGGGCTAGACTTGCTCTGGGCTTGAAGTATTAGGCTCAGATTTGTCCGTGAAATTTGTGGGTCTGACGTGGGCCCAGGCCCAGGTTGTGTTGAAAGGATCACCCCTAAGCAAAGTGTGCTTGATTTATTAGTCATTTAAAAATAGAAAATTTCAAAAAAAAAATTCAATTAATTTCCAGCAAGAGAATTAATTGAATGAATTATCGGAGGAAAGAAAGAGTTAATGGCATAACTAATGGATAGAGATAATCAAAAGAACTAATGGGAAAGGGAAGAAAGAGCTAATGAGGAGAGACGAGAGTCTTAAAGATTATTGTCTATTTAAGTTGTTTTGTTCAATTTTAAAAATAAAATTAAAAAAAAAGCCACAAAATAGAGAAGGGTGGGGAAGAAAGGAGAGACATGATTATGTCTCATGCTTTATTTTAGTATTAACGGTGTCACACGGGAAAAAGATGTAAAGGCTTATTATGCTTAAAACTTATTACTCTGTGGCAGTAATAGCAGCTTTTGCACTATCTACTGAGCTTTGTAATGAAGTTGAGCAATGTACGAGAAATTTCTTCTGGAACTAAAGCCTATTGCTTGGGATAAGCTGCAAGTAAAAAATCGTGTACGTTGGAGAATCATCACTAAATTAAGGACAACACATGCTAGGTGAAGCATTTTAAAGGAAAGCATTACCCCTGTGGTGATCAGGCTACAGATTCTTTGTTGTCGAAAAGCATTTGCAAGGCCAAATAGAGTTGTCAATGGCGGGTCTATCCCACAGGATCAAACCAATTATGCTGGTTTTAGTTCTGTAGTTTGTGTCTGGTTTATCCGATATGTTGTCAGATAATTGGGTCAGGACAAATGTTTTTGAACCACCGTTGATCCGGATGGTTGGACCGTTTGGCCTGGAAATCATTTAGGAAATCAATTCCGTTTTATCTCAAATCCAATCTCTGGTAAAAAATCGTTAAATTAATCAACGACCTGTTGATCCAGGCGGTTGAATCATTGACCCATTCAACGGTTTTTGGCCATTTTTTATTTTAATTATTTTTTAATTTTGTTATCAGAATGAGCCATACATTCGAATTGGACAGTCGAACTGTCGACCTAGAAACCAGTGGCCATAACAGTTTTGGTTTTGAGTCATTTTTTAAAACATTGGTCAAGATAGATTCTTACTATTCTGAAACATTTTTGTGATTTCCTAGTTATCTTGTAATTTTTGGTACATTTTATGTCTAAAAGGGTAAATTTAATAGATGGTATATAAGATAATTTTGGATAAAAATGCATGTTTTTTTGCTACAAAAATTACTTATTTTATTAACACATAAACAGTTTGGAAAGAGTGAAATAAAAATATGCACAGTGCAAAGCCTTGTATTTTATATTTCTAAACCTGTACTTGTACTGTACATATTTGCATTTATACTTGTCCCAAACTAAACCTAAGATTATATTATTAAAAAGAAAGTTCCAAGTTATTATTATTATAGATAATTATAGATGTCAAGTATAATTGGATGTAATGGGTCAGACCCAATTATCCCTATTAATAATTGATTTGGTTTTGAGTCTATTTTATAGAACAGATTAATAATCAGTTTAGGACTGGTCCGTCCTGTCCCAAATCAGACCCGACCCATTGACAGTTCTAGGGCCAAATATGTATTGATGGTGGGGTGTTGTAGGCAAATAGCGGATGGTAAATGTATTCAGATTTGAAGAAACTATAATCAATTTGAATGGATTGGGTGACCAATAAAATGTATTAAATTGGACCAGTCCAGAAGATAAAATTAATAGTGTCAATGGACCAGGTTTGGCTTGGATTCAATCTAAATTAAAACCAATTTTAACAGATTAGACCATACAGACATTGAATTGAATCAGTCCAGAATAGTCCAAAGTATTCATCGAATTGGGTCAAACCGGGTCCGTCTACAATAAATTTATATTGAACCGGGTTGGAATCGACCGATATCCAGTCCATTCACAACCCTAACCATAGCCTCCATAGGTCTCAAGTACGAAGGAATTCACTGAGAGTAGGCCTGCAATTGGAATTCCAGAATTGTATTTCATATGCGACCCAATTGGAAGGATGAATGGACGTGTCTCTTGCAGTTGCATGGTACTTACTACTTTGTGAGATTCCTCTACCTTTTCCACTAAGTGGAGGGAGCTCAACCCCAAAATTATTTGGGTTTTGAGGAGCCATCACTCAAGTTCTATTAAAAATGAGAACTTAAAAAAATCCGGAATTTTATAAAAAAATTCTTTTTTTTTTGCTACTGCTTAATCCACAAAGTTAGGAAAAATAATAAATTTGATTCATACAAAGTATGCAACATATAAAATATCAACATATAATAAACAAATAAAAACAAAAAAAGTGAGAGAACAAAAGCGTGCCATCTCAGCTAGAGAATTTTATTTGACGAGTAGGTAAAAGGGAAGATTCTGGTGTCGATTTGACATGAAGTTAGGTATCTACCAATTCAAAGTAAATATCTTGATTAAGCAGACAATGAGGTGGTCCACCAGACACAAACTGATATATTCCCATTTCCCAGAAATCTCCCTCAAGATATTCTTATATCTTTGTATTAGCCAGCTGGTAAAACTTCAAGATCAAACAAAGAAAATAAAAAGTATAGGGATGTATGTACCAGCAGGGCAAGAAATGGGATAGGTATTTATGGATACAATGGCTTTTAATAAATCGAATTTGGGTTATTGTAGTACTTCAATAGACAAATTAAATAAAGGGTAAATTGCATATAAGTAAGGTTTTTAAAATCGAACCAGTTAGGGGTCTGGTTCTCGGGTAGAGGCCCGATCGTTCAAACCAAACAAATGACTTGTATGTGATACCTAAGAGATGGCAATTTTTCCTCAATGTGGAAAAGTTATTTATCTACCTAAGAGATGGGCATGTGATACCTAAGAAAATAAACTTTTCTTACTCCCACATAAATCTGAAAAAAGAACACAGGCATTGACCAACTTTCCCCCTCTTAAAATCTAGAAAAAGAACGCCCGTTAAAATTAAACGAAAATTTTGACCACCAAAAAGCACTGCTCAAATATTTTAATTTCTTATAAAAATGCATTTCATTAAAAACTTTGAAAATTCCCAAAGTTCCTTCAAAATATTCTAAAATATTTGAAGTTTCTGAAACTTGGCAAAATTTAAAATAAAATTTCCATTACTCGTGTTAAAATTGCGAACTGCAAACTGCAAAGTGCAAACAGCGAACAGCACAGCTTTTCTCTATCTTTGTTCCTAATTTGGTACTAAAAGAAAAGGTATTTTGTAGTTCTAGTAATTGATTGGACTAGTCAGCATCTTTGCCCTGGTCCAGACAACACTCGAACAGTTCCGCCTGAACCGGGTGGGACCGCCCTAGCTCCACTCAGAATTAAGATAGGGATAGAGTAGAGGGCAACCATGAATTACCAACCAACCTAGCTTATTGGTCTTTTTCAGGTTTGCCCCTCGTTAAATTCTCTTCCATCAAAAGAATATAAATGCATGCGTAAAGCAGATGAGGACCCAACACCAGCTCAGGAGCATCTCGTTCCACCTTGTCAGAGACACTTTGCCTTTTGCTGCTGAATCCTTTGCTTTTCTTTCCTCACCAACTTCTTTTAACTCATGCTTTCACAGTCTTTTTCTTCACCTCTCAAAGCCTCTTTATTCTCTGATTCCGGGACAAACCACTGAGCTTTCTCTTGACTTCCATGTTCTGAGCTCAGAGCCATTGTCCCTTCCCCTTCCTCTTCCCACAGAGCTGCAGCAGAGGCAGAGATGACTGATCCCAACTTCAGTCTAGTTTCTGCATCAACGCTTTCATTCTGAAGAAAGAGAAGAAGAAGAAGAATGGAGGAATTCAAATATGGAGAGCTTCAAGCAGCCACTGATGACTTCTCTCTCACAAGGCTCATAGGAAAAGGAAGCCATGGATGTGTGTACAAGGGTGTTCTCAGAGATGGCAAGCTGATCGCAGTCAAGAAGCCGTCTCTGGGTCTCCAAATTCTTCAAGACAACTCGAAGATCGACCATGAAATTGAGATCCTCTCGGCATTGCGCAGAAGCCCACACCTGGTCAACATGGTTGGAATAAGCCATGACCACTTAACTCAGAAGAAGCTCCTGGTCATGGAATTCATGCCCAATGGTTCCCTTCATGACTTGCTTCATAACGTCTCCACCCCACCAAGCTGGCCCAAGCGCGCTTTCATGGCGCTCCAAATCGCCCGAGCTGTGCAAGCCCTTCACGAGGCTCAACCTTGTGTTATTCACAGAGACATCAAGTCTGCCAACATTTTGTTCGATTCCAATTGGAATGCTAAATTAGCAGATTTCGGCCTCGCAGTCCGACTCGGAGATGTTAATCAACCGGTTCCCCCTCCGAGTCAACCCGCTGGTACAATCGGTTACTTGGATCCTTGTTACACCACACCTGGGAAACTAAGTACCAAAACTGATGTCTTCAGCTACGGCGTGGTTCTGCTGGAAATCATCAGCTGCAGGCGAGCCATAGATGTCGAATGGGAGCCTGCATCCATCGTCGACTGGGCGCTACGATTGACAAACCAGGATCGGATGATTGAAGTCTGCGATTCAAGGGTTGCATTGCCCTCTTACATGGAGACTACCGTAAGGTGTATGCTTAGCTTGGCTGCTCGTTGTGTGTCGTCCAAGGAAGACTTCCGGCCGGCGATGAGAGAGATCGCCACCGAGTTGAAAACTTGTCTGGCGGAACGAGTTCGACTCCCTGTGTGGCGGAGCCTCATTTGGACCATCCTTTTGAGAAGAAGACGGAGAAAACCAGAGAAACGGATCACCACGGTAATTCGTTCAGTGCATCAGACAGATGCCCATGTTGATCATTCAGCAAGGAAGCTGCTGGTAAGAGAGGTTTTGGCCGATGCATCCCTCAATTAAAATTTTAAAATTCAAAATTTAACCAGGTCTGCTTGAGTTGACTCGGTTCGGTTCGTTCGTGCTGCCGAGTCAAGTCTTGCTACGACAGAGAGACAGTTACAGTCTTGTCGTAGCGCCGCGCTGAAACAACGAAATCAAAACATATGATGTATTACCATGGCCCCACTTTGAATTCCTGGTGGGGCCACTTCAATACATCTATGGCCACGATTCTCGATTTTAGCTGTTGTATGACGATACTATCGTAGAGTGAACCGGTTCTCCTTTCAAATTATTATTTTTGAATTTCCATTTTCTATTTTTAATTTTTATTAAAAAAAACTAATGTAAAAACACATGCTACGCACATGCATAATTTAAAGATTAAAATTTACAAAACGCCGGCAAAGTGTCTCAGACCTTTAAGTTTAATGAGCTTGATACGTCAGCTCTCTTAGTCTAAGGCCCAACTTACAGCCCATGCTTATTTATTAACCATTCCAGCGATTACGTGGCAATTCTGGCCAATCATTCTCTTGATCTTATTAATACAGTGGTTATTTGGTTATTGTTTACTTTTTTGCTTTTGATAGTTACAACGGCCAAGATGGCCCTATATACATGTAATCCCTTATTGAGAAGGAGGACATACACATATCCAATATTCTATTATCTACACAATTCGAAGTCCTTTTTTGAGTTGGTTCCATATTCCTCTTTGAGTGGTGCTCCGACATTATAGTTAGAGACATCGTGTGATGTCGCTTCTCTATTTGGCATATAACACAAAAGATCATGGCGCCTTTGAATTACTTTATATGTTCCACGAAGATGATTCATGTCCTTCAAGTGCTAAATAACTAGTTTAGAAACAACTAGTGGGGTCAGTGTGATGCATGGGACTCCTTCTTGTCCCTTGCCCCTGTAGTCAAGGCACTCTACCTCATTCCTATCTTGTTCCCGGTGGTGGGGCGGGTTCGAGGTGAGACACTCATTTCCTGTTAGGGATGAGAAATCCTCAAATTTTCCTCACCCTTAGGCAATTACCTAAAAATAATATAATTTGTGGATATCTTATAAATAGGATTATGGGAATTTGAGGGTATTTTATAAATGGAATTGTGGGATCGTAAGATTATAAAAATATGAGGAAAACTTAAAGATATTTTAAAAATTAATATTAAATCTACTGATATTTTACTAATTTATCATCGAGTAGGGGAATTATAGCAAACCTCATCCCTTCCCCGTCCCTAATTTGGAGTAAAAATATTTTCCCCGTCCGCACACTATCTCTTCACCATCCCTATTTAAAATTCAAGAACACTTGCTCCGTTTGGGGTGGGGTAGGGTAGGGCCCTAGTTTTACAGGGAAAATTGCCATCCCTACAATTCTAATAATTTTTTATAATTTCCAAAAATTATTGAAATTGTTGTTGATTAGAAAAAATGTATAGTAAATTAGTTATTTACAGTAACAATAAATTAATGTCAATTAATTTAAGTTATTTACTTTTTAACCCTAAATTATTTACTATTAATCAATGTGACGTAATTATAGTAAATTAATGTAATTATGGTAAATCATTAATTTTAATTAAAAGTAAATCATTTGTTGTTAATTAATGTAAATCCAAGAGTGGTTGAAGTCAACCAAGTGGTTTAGACTGGTGTGGATAGATTTAATAACTTTCCTAAATTATTTCATAATTATTTATTAAAATAAAAATGGTGGATTGTTAATTAAACAAATATGAAACAATTTCTAATAGATTAATTTCTTAGTTTAATTTTCCTAAATTTTAATAATTATTTAGTTGAATAATAATAATGGACTATTATTTAAATAGTTTTGGAGAATATTTTTCATAGACTAATTTCCTAATTTTTAATTATTATTTATTAAAAAGTATGGATTATTACTTAAAGAGTATCCTTGAATTATTTGGTAATTGTTAACTATAATTGTTGATTTTATAGAAATTAGTAAATTATGCTAATTAGTAATAATATCTTTTATGAATAAATAATTGTTGTATAAATTTAATGAAGATTTATTAAATTACAATGATTCATGTAAATTCCGCTAAATATTAAAAAATTGAACATTTATTAATTAACCAATGGTTAGTTTTATTAATGGTTGGTCGTTTTTGAGTGGCCAAATCCCTAACTCGACTAGATCAATTTGGCTAACCAAACAATCTCCAACCAAACTGAATTACCTAGTGGATAATCCTAATTTCAGCTAAATTAATAGTCTAATCTCTAACAAATAACAATGGTTTAATCTCCAATAATTATTGAAAATTTATAGCAAAAATACGCAATTGCTGAAAATATATTTATAACTGATGCAACGTGATCCGGGCACTCCTAGCTGGCGGACGTCTGGCTCCTAACTGGCGACGAACTGTACTTGAGAAGAGGAAGGTGAAGGATTCCCGGGGAGCTCGCCCGGTGGGAATACTCCGATGCTTAAGTTAGAACTCTAAGAGCTGTAAGAAATGCAAAGAGAGCTGAGAGTGCAGATAGCGCTAGATCAGTTTAATTACCTCCGCCCCTTGGAAACTGGGGCCTTTAAATACAGATGTTCTTGTCAAATCGGGCGTAACCGCCACTGGCCCTCTATTGTAGCCGTTATTTGCCAGGGCTGTGTAGGTAACCGCTGCAGAGTACTGCCCAATGAGAGACACGACTCGGAAAGGACAAACATGCCGCCACCTGTCGAGAGACGTGGGTGCAGCCCGCTGGGTTGGCAGGGACTGCGCCGTTAATCAGGAGACGTGGTGCAGTCTGACGGGTATGGTCTTGTCAGATAAGAAGCTTCCTGAAAATGCCACGTCCCCCAATAGCGGGCTACTTTGTAGCGAGCTCCTGGAGGTATCCCGAGGTGATTCCGCCTGAGGTTGCCATTGAGGCGGTCCTCTTGCCTAAGTATTGGAGTGAGCTGACTATCCAAGCTCACGAGCTGGGATAGACTTAGCTTGGAGTGTTCCCTTTCAGCATACTGGGGTCCTTGAGCTCGCGCTGTAGCGAGCTCGTTCCGTGGCGAGCTGTAATATAGCGAGCTGACCTACGAGGACTTTAACGAGCTCGTTACTCAGTTGTAGCCAGGCTATCACGCTGAGCTGTTACTTATGCCGAGTCACGTCCACGTGTCGCCTTCTTAGGAGGTTGGGTCAAATCACCCTCCATCAATTGCCCCCCACTCCTCGGGCTAAGGGTTCTACCTTAGCGCGAGGAGTTCATAGAGTGTGACGGGTGGATTTGACCTGAAATTCAAATTGGATTGACTGATCGCATTAAATACACACGCGGATGTCAGACGATTTCTGGACTTTTCAAATGCCAAAAAGCGCGCCAAAACGACTCTCAGTTTTGGAAGACGTGTAGCCGGCATTACCTTGATCATGGAAGACATGCAACCCGTCATATTTCAGTTTCAGAAGACGTGCAGTCAGTTTCATTATGAACCGTTGGATTCGCCTTAATCTGAGCCATCAGTTTGTGGTCACAGTGGCTATAAATAGGAGGGCCCCAGGCCTCATTTCTTTTACGCCAACTTGCCTTGCTTTCGGATTTGAGGTCACGCCTTTACCTAGTTGCTCGAGCTCTTCTCCTGTTTACACCGTCCTTCCGGTTCAGCTTTTTCCTGGTGAGTCTTCTTGCTTTGTCAGCAATGTCTGAGTACCCATACAATATCTTTCCTTGGGGCGGTAACCAAGATGACGCCCCTTCGAGCTCAGGGGGAGCTTGGGGGCAGGCTCCGGAGGCTCGGGAGGCCTCCGGCGAAATGGCTTCCTCTTCCCGGGGTAGGGATCCAGATAGCTTTGGTTCTTCCTCCATGTCGATGGGGAGACTCAGGATCTTGGTCCTTCAATTTGACCTTCCCAGAAATCTCGTCTACAGTCTCCTACCCGGCGACTATCCTTGGGAACACGGTCATGAAGAAATCGTGATCTTCCAGGAACAGCTCATTGCTGGCCTTCGTTTTCCTCCGCATCCTTTGATAGTGGAGGTTTTAAACCATTTTAATGTTACTATAGACCAACTTCACCCCAACTCAATCCGAAATGTAGTTGGGACAATTTCTTTGTTTTATGAGTATTGTCTTCCTCTTGACCTTGACATCTTCTCCTCCATTCTATCTATCAAGAATGCCTCCCCCGGAGCCCCTCCGGAAAGACATTCTTATACTTCTCTCCCCGTCCCAGCTTCAAGCTCCTTCACGAGTTGCCGAACAGGATTCCGGCTTGGAAGCGGGATTATTTTGTAGTTCGCAACCCCGAAGGGTGGCCCTTCCCGACCCACTAGATGGCCGCCATCCAGGATTCAGGTGTTGACTTGGATCCAAAAGTTCAGGAGACGCTGCAATCCTGGGCAGCGATTGGCTTCCTTTGCTCAGACTATTTGGTCGAGGACAAGCTTGTGCAGGCCGACCTGAACCCTGGTAGGTTGCCTTTAGGTCATGCTCTCTTCTTTCTTCTCTTTTTTTTTTTAGCTGGACTAATGCCTTGTGATTTTACAGCCAACATGTCTGGTGTAGATGCACATCGCCTTCTGTCGAGCAACCAAAAGCGCAGGGCAAAGAGTTCGTGCCCTGACAGAGTGTCCACTTCCGGGAGCACTGAGTTCGAGGTTGTAGACCCAACCTTCGTTCCACCATTGCCAGAGGTCCCGCCAGTTCTGGTCAAGGGAGTAGCTACGGAAGGTGGCAAAGGAGAAGGGGAGGTCCCGCCCCAAGGGCAATACCCTCCGTCTGTGCAATCTCGTCCCATCGCCTTCCTGCGGTTCCCTACCTAGGGGAAGGAGGAAAGCGTTACCAATTACATCGTGGCCATGCGGAGGAGCCGACAGGCACTACCCACGAGGAGGTCGCCGACTGGGGAGGGATGGACCCTAGGTAGCTTGCCAAGGTGGCCTCGGCTCATTGCATGGTGGTATGTGGGTGCTTCCCCCTTTTCTCTTTTCTTTTCCTTCCATTTTTTTTTACCTCGGCCTTTTGCTGGCAGGTGAACTCCGCCATCCACGCCATGGCCCTCCAGACTAAAATTCACTCCAAGGATGCCCTCACTCAGAGGTCGAACATGCAGAAGCTCCGTGGCGAGCTCGACCAGGCCCGAGATGAAATCTTCCAGGCTCGGAAGGGGAGCGAGGCTCAGGGGCTACTCATCCGGGACGAGGAAGCACAGATCGCCCGACTGTCTGAGGAGAGCGCTCGCTACTGGGAGGAGTTGTCGAGGGTGACAGCGGAGAGGGAGCTCCTTTGCCAGCAGGTCCAGAACTTGGAGTCCA